TGACCAAAAGTATGTGGATACCTGCTCATCGAACATCTCATTCCAAAATCATGGGCATTAATATGGAGTTGGTCCCCCCTTTGCTGCTATAACAGCCTCCACTCTTCTTAGAAGGCTTTCCACTAGATCTTGGAACATTGCTGAGGGGACTTGCTTCCTTTCAACCACAAGAGCATTAGTGAGGTCGGGCACTGATGTTGGGCGATTAGGCCTGGCTCGCAGTCGGCGTTCCAATTCATCCCAAAGGTGGTCGATGGGGTTGAGGTCAGGGCTCTGTGCAGGCCAGTCATGTTCTTCCACACCGATCTCAACAAACCATTTCTGTATGGACCTTGCTTTGTGCATGGGGGCATTGTCATGCTGAAACAGGAAAGGGCCTTCCCCAAACTGTTGCCACAAAGTTGGAAGCACAGAATCGTCTAGAATGCCATTGTATGCTGTAGAGTTGAGTGCAGCCCCCATGTTGAGTGCAGCCACGTCTTCAACCTCCTGAGGGCACTAAAGCTCCTTTCTGCTTCAGAGGACAGGAATGATAAGGAGCAACCTGACCAGTGCTTCAATATCTGTAAGTTAGCCACAAACTTCTACTGGCAGTCCTCTTAGAATTTCTGCAGCCTTTGCACTAGAACTGAATGAGCAGTTGAGTAAAAACATGGGCAGTTGCACTGCAGTAATCTCTGGATGTAAATCTACAATAGAGTCAATCTGTTCAGTGAGCGGAGTGTCCCACATTAAAAAATAGTGTAGTATTCACTGTAGTGTTTTTGCTGACTGAAGTCTGCAAAACCACTACAGTCAATACTGTAGTATTTACTGTAGTATACTGTATTATAGTGTAGTATTTACAGTTAACTGTAGTATAAAATACTGTAGTAAAAGAAAAGTAGTAAATACTATATTATTTAATGTAGTATTTTTGCTGATTGTATTTACTGTAGTGTTTTTGCGGACTGTAGTATTCTGTAGTGTTTTTGGGGACATTACTGTAGTATTTACTATAGGGTTTTTGTTTGATTATATTTGACATGGAAGAGGAGGCTTTCTTCTTCAGGAAACCTACTGGTGAAATACTAAAAGAGAACGTTTTCCATAACCTGTAGGTAGGTAGGACTGGGTCTGAACGGACAGTTCAAAGCTTCTGCTCTTTTCTATAACCTGTAGGGAACATAATATATGGTCTATACTTGGCATGTAGGTTTCTCAATTATGGGTGGCACACATTGTGATATGGGGGAGTTGAATGGGCAGGGTATATGCAAATAAGATACTGTAGTGTTTACTTTTGTAGTGTTTTTGCGGACATTACTGTAGTATTTACTGCAGTGTTTTTTTGTGTGGATAATATTGTAGTATTTACTAGGCACTCCAGCTCTCCAATTACAGATTATGCCAGCACAAGACCCAGTACAGTTTTGCCTTCCTTGAATTGTTGCTGCAGGCCATTAGCAGTGGTTGCTGTAGGATAGTTATCTTCCGCCATCTTCTCTAAACTAGAGAGGACAGAGTCATACTGAAGTAGGACTGCTTTGATGGGTTTATGTCTGACAGTCCATTTGGTCTGGCAGAGAGGTTTGAGGGCAGTAGGAGTGACATGATCTGATGTTGCAATCCGATTTAACATTACTTTGAATTTACTGGACAGTCCACACAAGATGCCCAATTGATGGACCCAATCAAGGGAATCTTGGATTAGGACGGAAGCTGAGCAGGCTTTCTGCGTGATCAGGCTCACACAATGTGCTCCGCAGTGCACATACACCGTTTTTTGATATCAGTACCTGTGCACCAGAGTGCTTACCCGACATGTTGGCTGCTCCTTCATACAGTATATCTGGCCATGCAATTCTGACAGGGCTAGATTTCATCTTATTATAAAATCCATTGCCATCTTGGTGAGGCTCTGTCCTGTCGCTTCAAGCACTGCAGACCTATGCATTTCTCATGTGGCAGCAAGTCATGGTCGACATCTCAGGCATATAGACTCTTGCTCTTTCCCTGAGACATCTTGCGTTCCTTCAATTACTAAGGAAAACTGAGTAATCGGAAGAGATCGGAAGGTATTGCCTATTATTCAAATGATGTCATTGCTCATTAAGTTAAGCATTTAATTCTGTATCTTAGGGCTAGTGTAATCATGGTTGCATGTTCTTAAGCAGCTGTGAAGGACTGTGTCATCTTCTGCCTTTTAAAAGTTTGTACAGATTTCTGTTTCTTCCACATGACCTCTTAAGGCCTTACCCTGTCTTACTAAGTACTTCACTGAACCTACAATCTTCAGTAGACATTGTCTTGCTTCCTCTTGTTGTCTGGCTAAAGAAGTAGATAACTGAGTCCACAGGGTTTGATTATTGTGCACTCACTGTAACTGAGTGGCAATAGGAGTGACTTTTAGCATGAGCTGAAAACTTTTCAAAAGACTTCTTCCCATTTCTAAAGCCTGTGGTGACAAATGTAGGGTCTGATTTTGTGCCAAAGGGTGACCTCTTATTAAGAAAAAAGTTGGTGCAATGGAAGCATAAAACCCACTTCAAAGAGGCACTGTAATGCAGCCAGGGAAAATCTTGAAATGGAAAAACTCTGTCAGCTCGCTTCTGGATAACAATAAACATGGGATGTGGTTGATTTGGCTTTGTGCTGGTGCTGATGTTGATTTCTTCTATTTGTCCTCTGGCTCTGTCCCTGTCATCTGTGCTCAACTGGCTGCTGACTTGTGGCTCAGTCCCCTACAAACATTGTCTTCATTTCTATTGCCAAAATAGAAAGGCCTTTCTTTTGCCAAAATATGATGAAACTTAAACAATAGTACAGCTACAAGACATGTCTTAGGACTACACTTAAATACTCCAATTTGTGTGTTCACCATTGTTACATTACATATTCTCACCTGATGACCAGTTCGTCTTCTCCCTGCCTCAACATGGGCCATGCTCTCTCTCTCTCTCTCTCCACTGACTACAGTCTGCAAAGATGATGATTTGAACTCTCTGTGCGCAATGTAAATTGCTGTGCAAAGTGCTTTACCAGACTGCCTTATAACTCAAATTCCAAACTGGATGACCTGTTCGTCCTCTCCCTGCCTCAACATGGGCGGTGCTCCCTCTCTCTCTACTGTGTCCCTGACCCCTGCCATGACAACCAAATGAAATCAGAATGTAGGCAACAACTGTTTTCAGCAAAGATGAGGAGTTGAACTGATGGTGCCTTTTAACTCATACTCTCACCTGAGGATCTATTTTTCCTCTCCCTGCCTCAACATGGGCGGTGCTCTCTCTCTTTCTTGCTCTCTCCACTGACTGTCTTTGACCCCTGCCATAATCATTTGACCAAATACCATTATCATATGACAAAAATGGCTGGCCTTAACAATGATGGGGTTAGCTTATTAACATTAATTTTATTCTGCTTTTATTAGCTAAATTATTTATTTACTGGCTGGCAATACAGTGTCTTGAGAAAGTATTCACACTCCTTGACTTTTTCCAAATGTTGTTGATTTACAGCCTGAATTAAAAAATGAATTAAATTGAGATTTGTTTTGTCACTGGCCTACAGACAATGCCCCATAATGTTAAAGTGGAATTATGTTTTTTCAAATGTTTGCAAATTAATAAAAAATATAAAGCTGAAATGTCTTGATGTCTATAGCAAGCCTGAATAACGAGTCACATAATAAGTTGCATGGACTCACTCTGTGTGCAATAATAGTGTTTAACATGATTTTTGAATGATTACCTTATCTCTGTACCCCACACATACAATTATCTGTAAGGTCCCTCAGTCGAGCAGTGAATTTCAAACACAGATTCAACCACAAAGACCAGAGAGGTTTTCCAATGCCTCGCAAAGAAGGGCACCTATTGGTAGATGGGTAAAAAGAAGACATTGAATATCCCTTTGAGCAACTTTAGGAGACGGTCCTGGTGCTTGCTGGACTTTCTTGGGTGCCCTGACGCCTTCTTCACAACAATTAAAACTCTCTCCTTGAAGTTGTTGATGATCCGATAAATGGTTGATTTAGGTGCAATCTTACTAGCAGCAATATCCTTGCCTGTGAAGCCCTTTTTGTGCAAAGCAACGATGACTGCACGTGTTTCCTTGCAGGTAACCATGGTTAACAGAGGAAGAACAATGATTTCAAGCACCACCCTCCTTTTTAAAGCTTCCAGTCTGTTATTCTAACTCAATCAGCATGACAGAGTGATCTCCAGCCTTGTCCTCGTCAACACTCTCACCTGTGTTAACGAGAGAATCACTGACATGATGTCAGCTGGTCCTTTTGTGGCAGGGCTGAAATGCAGTGGAAATGTTTTTTGGGGATTAAGTTAATTTTCATGGCAAAGAGGGACTTTGCAATTCATTGCAATTCATCTGATCACTCTTCATGACATTCTGGAGTATATGCAAATTGCCATTATCAAGAGGCAGCAGACTTTGTGAAAATTAGTATTTGTGTAATTCTCAAAACTTTTGACCACGACTGTAGAGTCCATGCCCCGATGAATTGAGTCTGTTCTGAGGGCAAAAAGGGGGGGTGCAACCCCCCCAGTTACATTTGACATTTTAGTCATTTAGCAGACGCTCTTATCCAGAGCGACATACAGTTAGTGAGTGCATACATTTTCATACTGGCCCCCCGTGGGAAACGAACCCACAACCCTGGCGTTGCAAGCGCCATGCTCTACCAACTGAGCTACATCAGCCTGTTATGATGATAAAGTAGTTAATTCATTAAAGCTACAATCTGGATTAGTTTTAAAGCAGTTTTCAATCAATATCCAAGGACATCAAGCTCAGAGCTGTAAGGTTTGAAGCTGGGGTACAGGCTGTCTCACTAATTGACTGAAGGAAAGAAGATCTATTCATTAGTTCACCCAATCCTTTTTTCCTCAATCATAAGAAGTACTGTTTCAATATTGCTCTGTGGAAAATTCAACCTATTCTGAACTCCTCCCTTCTTCCCTATCTCTCTCTTTCCCCCTCTGTCTCTCTCTCTGTGTAGGAAGGGCACCTTGCTCTTGAATAACGGCTTTGCAGTGATAGCTGCTCTTTTGTTAGCCCTGGGAGAGAAGGCTAGATCTTTCGAGATGCTCATCATCGGTCGTTTCGTCATGGGGGTGGACTCTGGTGAGTGCTCTTTCTGCTAGGGTGGAGAAATCTGACCATTATCCCCCAACTATCTAAAAATAGTCTCAACCAGGAGATTCTCAAGACTTGTAGATGACTCACCAACGACATACTATTATACAATTATAGTAAGTATATAGAACAAGCCAAGAGATTAAATCAGTGCCTATAACCCAATACAATTGTTTCATTAGGGTGTGTTCATATGGGTGATTTTGAGAAAATGAACCTGTTGATTATAGTACCAAGATCTAAAAGAACTAGAGCTAATCGTAAACGCACCATGTGGTTACAATATGTAAGCACAATATAGCTGCTGATGAAGATGTAAAGGTGAAAATGTAAAGACGATACAGGATCAATAACACACACAGTTTATCCTGGAATCTGTTATTTTATAATAGATGTTACCGTCAGTGAGATCCATCTCCTGGTATGTGGCGATTCAACACGCCCCTACCTGTCTAGTGTACAGTGCCTTCAGAAAGTATTCTTACCCTTTGACTTATTCCACATTTTGTTGCTACAGCCTGAATTCAAAATGGATTAAATAAAAAACATGTTCTCACCCATATACACACATTACCCCATATTAACAAAGTGAAAACATGTTTTTAGACATTTTAGCAAATGTATTGAAAATTAAATACAGAAATATATAATTAACATAAGTATTCACCCACTGAGTCTCTACCCTGTTATGTTTATGTTGTGCGGTCGGAGTCCCCACCTTTGGGGGGGGGGGTACTGTCACGCCCCGACTCAGAGGACGCTTGTATGTTGAGTCAGGGTGTGTATTTTCCTTGCGGTGTTTGTCCATGTTGTACATTCTATTATGTGTATTTCTATGTTGGCCGGTGTGGTTCCCAATCAGAGGCAGCTGTAGCTCGTTGTCTCTGATTGGGGACCATACTTAGGCAGCCTATTGGCACTAGTGGGTTGTGGGATCTTGTTCCAGTTAAGGTATGTTGTGTTGTTGACCTTAAAACTGAGAATTGATCAACAACATTGTATTTACTCCACAATACTTATCTAATTAACAGAGTGAAAAGAAAAAAGACTGTAAAGAATACAAATATTCCAAAAATATTGAAGTGTTATGTTTGGAGAAAATCCAACACCACACATTACTGGGTACCACTTTCCATATGTTGAAGCATAGTGGTGGCTGCATCATGTTATGGGTATGCTTGTAATCGTTAAGGATGAAAAAAAAATTAACAGAATGGAGCTAAGCACAGGCAAAATCATAGAGGAAAACCTGGTTCAGTCTGCTTTCCGCCAGATACTGGGAGATGAATTCACCTTTCAGCAGGACAATAACCTAAAATCTACACAACAAATATACAGGACAAATCTACACTGGAGTTGCTTACCAAGATGACAGTGAATGTTCCTGAGTGGCCAAGTTACAGTTTTGACTTAAATCTACTTGAAAATATATGGCAAGACCTGCATATTTATTTCTATCAATGATGAACAACCAATTTGACAGAGCTTGAAGAATTTAGGAAAGAATAATGTGCAAATGTTGCACAATGCAGGTGTGGAAAGCTCTTAGAGATTTACCCAGAAAGACTCACAGCTGTAATCGCTGCTATTGGTGCTTCATTCAAAGTATTGACTCAGGTTTGTGAATACCTATGTAAATGAGATATTTCTGTATTTTATTTTCAATAGATAATGTCTAATAACATGTTTTCACTTTGTCATTATGGTGTTTTGTTTGTAGATGGTTGAGAAAAAATCGATGAAATTCATTTAGAATTCAGGCTGTAACACAACATACTTTCTGAAAACACTGTGTTCCTCTCATGGGCATTGTGAAACCACACATAATATTTTATCTACACCTGATTTCTAATAATTTTTACTTTGAGATTCCATTCAAATTCAATTGCTCCAAAGGCTTTAAAGCTTTTAATTGATTCTGGACTTCAGGGAATTCTCCCGCCAGTAGAAATAGGAGTCTACGTCTTCCCCGGTCAACAGCTGTCCTGTGTCAATCCTGATATGATAGACTTTGATGTGTTTTCACTTTTGATGTGACTTTGATCCACACAGAATAAATAATATTGTGGCCTAACAGTTTGCGCATTCTAGCATGTTTTTGTGAAGGAGGATTTGTATATACAGCATGGTTATATGACTAGGAAATATTGGTTAACACAAGAAATGCAATCTCCTTCAGCAGAATCTGCTGAGACAATAAAAGCACCCATTATTGGATATAGTCTATTTTTACTATTCAGGCGTGTTTACACCATGAGGTTATTACTGAGTTAGTGCTCATTTTTAATCCACAACAATTAATCACTTTTAAAGAGTAAATCCTATGCAGTCCATGTTGAACTTAATATCCATTGATTTTGTGCTTGTTGGCTTGTGTTTCTAGGTATTGCTCTCAGCGCCCTGCCCATGTATCTGGGCGAGATATCCCCCAGACACGTGAGAGGCTCCATTGGCCAATTCAACGCCATACTCATCTGCCTGGGGGTGTTCACCGGACAAGTCCTGGGACTTCCTGAACTTCTGGGCCAGGTTAGTACTGTTGGTGACGGATTCCACGATACGGTGCCATTATTAGGACGGTAATTGTGATTCTCTTCTAATATGGATACCGTAATGAAGAGTTGAATGAGTGTCAAATCCACATTTGAGATATGAGAGCAAAACTTGAACTGTCATGGCAAATCTCATGTTTTATCTCTGCATCATGTATGTGTTATTATTTCAAGTTAGGGGATGTGGCTAGTCAAATTACTAGGCCTCCCCAACCACATTTACCCTACCTTGGCCAGTGACACTCCAACCCAACAGACCTGGGTAAAATACAGTGCCTTCGGAAAGTATTCAGACCCCTTGACTTTTTCTACATTTTGTTACGTTACAGCCTTATTCTAAAATTTATCAAATTGTTTTTTCCCCTCATCAATCTACACATAATACCCCATAATGACAAATCAAAAACAGGTTTTCAGAAATGTTTGCAAATGTATATTAAAAAAACCCCCAGAAATATCACATTTACGTAAGTATTCAGACCCTTTACTCAGTACTTTGTTGAAGCACCTTTGGCAGCAATTACAGCAACGGGTCTTCTTGGGTATGATGCTACAAGCTTGGCACACCTGTATTTGGGGAGTTTCTCCCATTCTTCTCTGCAGATCCTCTCAAGCTTTGTCAGGTTGCTGCACAGCTATTTTCAGGTCTCTCCAGAGATGTTCGATCGGGTTCTGGCTGGGCCACTCAAGGACATTCAGAGACCACTCCTGCTGCGCTGTCTTGGCTGTGTGCTTAGGGTCGTTGTCCTGTTGGAAGGTGAACCTTCGCCCCAGTCTGAGGTCCTGAGTGCTCTGGAGCAGTTTTTAATCCATTTCTGTACTTTGCTCGGTTCATCTTTGCCTCGATCCTGACTAGTCTCCCAGTCCCTGCCGCTAAAAAACATCCCCACAGCATGATGCTGCCACCACCATGCTTCACCGTAGGGATGGTGCCAGGTTTACTCCAGACGTGATGCTTGGCATTCAGGCCAAAGAGTTCAATCTTGGTTTCATCAGACCAGAGAATCTTGTTTCTCATAGTCTGAGAGTCTTTAGGTGCCTTTTGCCAAACTCGATCGTTGAGAGACGGGTCAGACCAAGGTGCAGCGTAAAAAGCGTACATGTTTATTTAACTAAATAAACATACAACAAAATAAGAAACAACGTAACGTGAAGTCCTCCGGCTATACACATACAAGCCTAATACGGAACAGATCCCACAATACACAGTAGGCAATGGGCTACCTAAGTATGATCCCCAATCAGAGACAATGAGCGACAGCTGCCTCTGATTGGGGAATCCTACCCGGCCAGACATAGAAATAGAATACCTAGAACATAAACATAGAAATTCTAACATAGATTTCCACACCCTGACTCAACAAACAAGAGTTCCATACGTCAGGGCGTGACAGAGTGCTGCAGAGATACTTGTCCTTCTGGAAGGTTCTCCCTTCTCCACAGAGGAACTCTAGAGCTCTGTCAGAGTGACCATCGGGTTCTTGGTCACCTCCCTGACCAAGGCCCTTCTCCCCCGATTACTCAGATTGGCCGAGCGGAAGAGTCTTGTTGGTTCCAAACTTCTTCCATTTAAGAATGATGGCGGCCACTGTGTTCTTGGGGACCTTCAATGCTGCAGAAATGTTTTGGTATCCTTCCCCAGATCTGTGCCTCGACACAATCCTGTCTCGGAGCTCTACGGACAATTCCTTTGACCTCATGGCTTAGTTTTTGCTCTGATATGCACTGTCAACTGTGGGACCTTATATAGACAGGTGTGTGCCTTTCCAAATCATGTCCAATCAATTGAATTTATCACAGGTGGACTCCAATCAAGTTGTAGAAACATCTCAAGAATGATCAATGGAAACATGATGCACCTGAGCTCAATTTTGAGTCTTATAGCAATGGGTCTGAATACTTACGTAAATAAGGTTTTATATTTGCTAAAATGTCTAAAAACCTGTTTTCGCTTTGTCATTATGGGGTATTGTGTGTAGATTGCTGAAAAAAATAAATATTTGATCAATTTTAGAATAAGGCTGTAACTTAACTAAATCTGGAAACAGTCAAGGGTTCTGAATACTTTCCGAAGGCACTGTACATATGTATAATAGGTCTACTTTCAAATACTTAAGAAGGCACTTGATTTAGCTTGCCCGGTACAATGAAATCAATGGAATAGACACAAATGTGTAAACTCCGTCCACCCTGCATCTCGGTTGAGCTTAGTAAAGGACACCTCATTATTTGTGAGTATTTGACATAATGTGTTTTACCCTGGTCAGCAGTCCAATCATGTACTTCCTCATATTTCCATAATATGGATGCCGTTCTATGGTACATCGTGCTTTGCCAGATTAGTCAGATGAGACACAGCTGATTATTGGGACTGTTATTTGAGGGGCTGTCTATGTAAATGAGTGTGCCTATTGTCTTTGAGTTTGACTAGACCAGAGACTAGAGGGCTCAGTCATGTTCATAGTAAAATAAATCCAAGATTGGCTTAGGACTGGATCTCTTATACACCTCTTGTAAAAACACAGCTCTTGTTATATTAACAATTTGACTGAGGAAAGAAACTCTGAAGTAACACTGAAGAAACTCTGTCTCATCCGATTCGAAGTGAACACTCCAAAATTAATGAATTATTTCCACTAAGGACTCAGGCTGCAAATTATCTTATCAGCTTCTTCCCCTCTGTCCTTGTTCCCCTAGAGGGTAGGTGACATCAACGTAGCCACATGTAACATATGGATTTGCATTAGTATTCGCATCAAAAGTCCCAATGCAAAGTTACACTGCACTTTTAATTTTTTTTAGTTATTACATAAAACCGATCAGAATTCCGGAAAATTGTCGGAAAATGTTTTTCCGGGGTGTGATGTAATATGGCATATTCCCTATACTGTAAACTCCAACATAAACAACTTCAAATGTATAACTTCAAATTAAACAAAATGGTTTGCACCCATGACTACCGGTTTCAATTACATGTTCAGTCAATTTACAAGCAAATACTTTATGAATGTATTGTTACAAATCAACTTGCAAGGTTTCTAGCCAATTAGCCTGCTAACGTTAGCACTACCAGCCTGCTAATATTACGTTAGCACTGAATGAGTCAGCCAGTTGCGATCAACACCTAGCTTACAGCTGTCAATTTCTTCCCCCAATGGAGCAGGGCGAGAAATACAGTGCCTTCGGAAAGTATTCAGACCCCTTGACTTTTTCCACATTTTGCTATGTTACAGCCTTATTCTAAAATGGATCAAATAAAATACAATCCTCAGCAATCTACACACAATACCCCATAAAGACAAAGTGAAAACAGGTTTTTAGAAATTTCTGCAAACGTATTAAAATAAAAAAACTGATACCTTATTTACATAAGTATTCATACCCTTTGCTATGAGACTCGAAATTGAGCTCAGTTGCATCCTGTTTCCATTGATCATCCTTGAGATGTTTCTACAACTTGATTGGAGTCCACCTGTGATAAATTCAATTGATTGCACATGATTTGGAAAGGCACACGCCTGTCTATATAAGGTCCCACAGTGGACAGTGCATGTCAGAGCAAAACCAAGCCATTAGGTCGAGGAATTGTCTGTAGAGCTCCGAGACAGGATTGTGTCGAGTCACAGATCTGGGGAAGGGTACCAAAACATTTCTGCAGCATTGCAGGTCCCCAAGAACACAGTGGCCTCCATAATTCTTAAATGGAAGAGGTTTGAAGCCACCAAGACTCTTCCTAGAGCTGGCCACCCGGCCAAACTGAGCAATCGGGGGAGAAGGGCCTTGGTCAGGGAGGTGACCAAGAACCCGATGGTCACTCTGACAGAGCTCTAGAGGTCCTCTGTGGAGATGGGAGAACCTTCCAGAAGGACAACCATCTCTGCAGCACTCCACCAATCAGGCCTTTATGGTAGAGTGGCCAGACGAAAGCCACTCAACAGTAAAAGGCACATGACAGCCCGCTTGGAGTTTGCCAAAAGGCACCTAAAGACTCTCAGATCATGAGAAACAAGATTCTCTGGTCTGATGAAACCAAGATTGAACTCTTTGGCCTAAATGCCAAGCGTCACGTCTGGAGGAAACCTGGCACCATCCCTACGGTGAAGCATGGTGGTGGCAGCATCATGCTGTGGGGATGTTTCTCAGCGGCAGGGACTGGGAGACTAGTCAGGATCGAGGCAAAGATGAATGGAGCAAAGTACAGAGAGATACTTGATGAAAACCTGCTCCAGAGCGCTCAGTACCTCTGACTGGGGTGCAGGTTAACCTTCCGACAGGACAACGACCCTAAGCACACAGCCAAGACAACGCAGGAGTGGCTTCGGAACAAGTCTCTGAATGTCCTTGAGTGACCCAGCCAGAGCACAGACTTGAACCCGATTGAACATCTCAGGAGAGACCTGAAATTAGCTGTGAAGCAACACTCCCCATCCAACCTGACAGAGCTTGAGAGGATCTGCAGAGAAGAATGGGAGAAACTCCCCAAATACAGATGTGCAAAGCTTGTAGCGTCAAACCCAAGAAGATGCAATGCTGTAATCGCTGCCAAAGGTGCTTCAACAAAGTACTGAGGAAAGGGTTTGAATATTTATGAAAATGTGATATTTCTGGGGGGTTTTAAATATACATTTGCAAACATTTCTTAAAACCTGTTTTTGATTTGTCATTATGGGGTATTATGTGTAGATTGATGAGGGAAAAAAACAATTTAATCAATTTTAGAATAAGGCTGTAACATAACAAAATGTGGAAAATGTCAAGGGGAGATTGACACATTTTTTTGACATTTGTTACAGCCAGGTGATGGTGTGATAATGGGTTTTCTCTATACCCCAGGGAATCTCCCCCTGTAGCATTAGAAACGGTGAGATCGTGGACACATTGGTAAAAAAGTAATCATTTTCTCCTCTGATGGGGGTTTGAGTAAGGGGGTAAGGGGGTTTCTTGGAGTTACAAACGGCACTCCTCTGGGTGAGTTTTATCTCACAGACATTGATTTAGTTTGGGAGGCACTATTTATTTGCTGTAGAAACT